TTTACGATACAAAACGAGGGTCGGCAGTTCATGGGGGGGGCTACCATGTATATATTTATATACTTATATATTTATATATCTATATATTTATATATTGGTATATTGATATATATATATATATACGCAAGTATACATTCAAAATAAATAAGGTAGCTGGTATATGATATACCATGTTTCTCATACAAAACGTATTTTGTACAATATGCAAGGCGTGATGTGAAACCCAATAACTATCATCTGTTATGTAATGTTTGAATTACAGTATATCCTACAGTAATGAAATGCAGTCTATTTTCTGATCTAACATGGAGATATACACATAATATATACATATATATATATACGTGTATATGTATTTTTGTAGGTGTGCATGTATGTATGTATGTATGCATGCATGCATGTATGTATGTCTGTATGTATGTATGCATGTATGCACGTGTACACATGTCTTTGCCTTGATATGTAACATATGTGCAGATGTATGTATGTATGTATGTATGTACATATGCATGTATGCATGTACTGTATGTATCTATGTATATATATGTATATATATATATATCTATATATATATACATATTCTATATTTTTTTGTATTTATATTGATCTAGTTATCTTATCAGAAAACCTCATGCAAATGTTTGCAGCATGTGCTATGTACACATTCAAACATACCATTAGATACGCATGTGTGATAAGTCTAATAGTATATATATATATACACTTATATCTCTACATGTTTATATGTGTTTATATGCATACTGTAGAGTGTAAGCTAGAAGTTAATGTGTATAACAGCTTACTGCACATATACCTATGTGACCTATAACATATGTATACACATTGCACTTGACACCATTTATAAAAAATCATACAGGAATTGTTTATTTTACAATATGTGTATATATGGTGCGTGTTTTGTTAGCACATATTCGTGTGCACATACATGTATACATATGTATATAAATATGTATTAAATGACAGGTACATTAGTTCTATGATCATGTAATACAGAACATGCATGTTCTATATTTACATGAACACACATACATATTTGGTTATGTGTGTTATATACATACATATATAGAGAGAGAGAGAGAGAGAGAGAGAGAGAGCAAACAGGTTGCTGTGGGGCCTAGGTTTTTGTAGGCACATCTTTCTATCATATTTACATTCTAACAACCCCAGACACGTTACACCACAAAGTACTGCACACTTCTATTCCGGAGTAATGTATTCAAGGTCACGTTGAAGCTGCGCATATTCAGACACCAACCTGTACCACACCTCGGTATTGATTGGCTACGTATTCAAATTTTCGCCACAAAAAACTGTCACAGGCAAGAAACACCGTAAATACCGTGTAACTCTTGACTTTGTCAAACCAAGTCTTGGGGTAGGCCGCATAGACTCGACACGTCCCTCACGGAGCCGTATATCTTATCCCGCAAGTCTTTTCAGGCCAATTCACCCAACACCAAAACTCAAGGCATTACCTGCTTTGGCGTGCAATGCTTGGCTGTTGGAGAACATGTACGTACTGAATTAGCGTACTTACTTGGCAAAGTGCACAAGATTCGAAGTAGAATAACAAGCTGCCATGGTTAACCAGTTTGCTACTTGTTTTAGATGACTCAAATCCTGCTTGTCCGAATGGTCACGTCCTGCTGGCTGCAGTCTACAATCCAAACATGCAAAGGCCTGGACGACAAGGATTTGTGGTGTTTTATCACTCCTCGAGCGATGCTTCAGCGGCAGCGGCCCATATGAAACCACATGTCCGCATTCATACTGATCCAGATGCTCGCTGATCTTGCATGGCTTCCATGTCCACAAGTATCTGTATCAGAAATCCTTTCGGTTTGATATCAAATCAGCCCCTTCATATGCCTCTGGTCCTATATGGCTATAATGGCGGCAAAGATTGGACCTCTGAGTTATGTAGCAACAGCACTTGTGGTCTTGTGGTTACACGGGAAGACACGCATACGCACATATGCACCAGTTTCCACATGAGTCGACCATGTGTTAATGGACAACTCATTTGTTCATAAACAAGTCTAAACCACACAAGCCCACACATGGAGAATGTCCTACGTATCAGTGTGTCAGTGAGCAAGGTTTGCAGTAAGGTGAGGTTTGTGACGTGCGGTGCTGGTGCATGGTGGGGTCGGGGGGTCTCGGAACATCAACCCAGCACTCCTGCCCCCGGCCGTCCCCCGCGCCACAATGTATTGAATACGAACGAACAAACAACCAGCACGTTTCAGACAAGAGTTAAACATCTAGCTTCATATAATCAACGTATAAAAATAGGCACATGGCAATGAACAAAATCAACAAGCTGAAAAACGCTGAAAGAACGGTATACCGAAACGCAGCGTTTATAAACAAACCGTATGTTTATCAACAGGCCTCGTGGTCTGCATTAACTCAGAGTTGATGTTGTAGTTGGGAACAACAACATGCACGAACGTGCACCAAACCAACGCCCAACTGACACAGAAACCCCCACACACACACCCACTCGAAACATACAAAACTACTGAACATAGTGGGTTTCAAAACACAGGCCCCGAAGTCTCCTCTTCTGCATGTATGTGTATATATATATACATACATACATACATACATACATACATATACATACATACATACATACATACATACATACATACACGTACATATATATATATATATATCATACAGAATGTCGTTATTTGCGGCATATACAAAGCGAAATCTAACATAATACAATCTAATACAATACAAAAAATTCAACTTCATGTGACATTATATAATTTAACAAAACAAAAAATTGCGTTATCCTTCTATAGTAAAGTGCGACGTAGCGTGATGCCATGTAATGTCATAGAACATAATATACTACAAATATATATATGTATATAGAAAAGAGCAATCGGTACATATAAGCCCTCGTATGACTACCGTGTAGATAACGTTTATAGTGAATGTTGTATCTATCACAGGTTATCTGCAGCACATGGTATACGAACATGTGTATATATATATATATACAAATGTGTGCATTTATATAGACTGAATACTGTATACATGTTTTGCTGAAATGAAATAGTCACTTGTATACTTCACCATACAAAACGTCAAATATGCCATATTGGAAAATCACTCACACACATGTATATACACATATATATATATATGTACAAATGAAGGGTCTAAACCACACACCCACACATAATGAACAGTACCATTTAACATACTTCTAAACAATTTAAACAACGTAGAAGACTGTACAGTTTTACATCACATATATAACAGAGTAGATGTATGTAGGGATATATGTGTATATACAACTTTATAGGGACTGCAAGACTGGATGACAAGGGGGCTACAGACTAGAGTACCGGAGCAGAGCAAAAAAAGGCTGAATCAAACAGTCCTCCAAATCGACCTGTGCACTGCTATTGCGCTTGGCTGCACATGGCTACACGCGAGGCATCCGCGAACTGCCCTGCCATGCGGGGCCTTTTCAGGAGGCCCAGGGCTTCCTTGGACACCTGCTGAGGGTCGAGACTGTGTGTCACCTCATCAGAGCCGAAAGCTGCCGGTCGCGAGGTGCAAGGCATGGCACAAAGGAATGCTGCCGTGCAGCATTCATCCACTCATCCGGCCGGGTCGACAGCTGCCTTTCCTGCAGCAGCGGCAGTCGCGAAGGGCACTGTCTTTCAGCCTACGCTTTCCCGCCTCCAGGTTGCGGAAGTAGAGCTCGCTCCTCCAGCTCGTGCTTATTCGAGGAAGGAGCCTCCGCAAAGATGGTGACTCGGAGTGGCACACTTCACAGCTCAGATCCAGGTTTGATCCGAAGATACTGATGGCAAATGCTATGAAGATCTCTTTCTGAACTTGTCTGAGTGCGCCTTCCGCAACTCAAATCAATCGCTTGACGCCCTGCAGTGCATGGCATGATGCGCTGCTACGACGAAGCGAGGACTCAGTCAACAGGCCAGCCCGACGATATCCCAATGCTGTATCACCCAAAACCACTGGCGTATCCGTGTCCTGGCTCTGTGTCGGGTCAAGCGTCCGAAAGAAGGCCGTGCACTTTCCACACTCGGCCGGAAAAATGCCGGACGGGCCAAATAGAACCTTACATTCGGACAATTCATTCTGATTTGAAGCAAGTGCAGTACTGCTGTTGCCAAGGTGCTGATAGCAGAATCTGAGAAAGCCTTCAAAAAAGCAAAGTGCCAACGAAAGGCTCTGCCTGGTGATCGGATGCAAGTGGGCAAACATCTGCTGCTAATGCACATGCAGCACAGTCTACACTGTGGACGCGCAGTGGGCCTTAGTCTGAAGTGGCCAATCTGAAGAGTGAAGAGCCCAATGCAAGTAGCCTGAGCAGGATCCTTCAGTGTACAGGCTGCCCCTGTCTCTTTCTTACCTGACTCAGACCTGGTAAACGCTGATGGCATTTCGGGGAACTTTTGCCGCAAATGCCTCCCGTCAGCCATCCGTGTGAGTGGGCAGAATCGGCATGACAACAGTCCAGCCTTGAGAAGGTGGATGTAGGCATCAAAAGCCAAAGTGCCTTGTTCAGCAAAATTCTCCTGCCGCAAGGCGAACTGAGATCATGAACAGAGAGCACCAAAAATCTCAAGAAAGCCTGGCGGATCCTGGCCTCTATGCTCTTCCGCACATCGAGGAAAGCTTTTCTGAATGCCTCGCATTGGCTTTAGAAAACTTTAGAGCCTCCAGGGGACTGCAAAAGAAAGGCAGCCGAGCTTGGATGCCTCTTGTCGTTTCTTGAACCGGCTGAACCTAGGCAAAGACAATGCAACTCAGATTTTGAAGACATATCCCGTGAGCCAATCGACGGCCCTCGCACGGCGTGAATCCTCGCCCACAGGGACCGGGTCTGGCACTGCCGGGTTCGCCGGCCCCGTTAATGAATGGGATTCCACATCCACTGCGCGTTGTAGTTCTCGATTCGAAGCCGAGGCAGATGGAGTTTCGGCTGATGGGCTGTCGGCTCCAAGACTCCGACAAACATGACATGAGCATCCTCTCCAAACGCTGAGCAGTCACAGAAGTGACAAATTCCGAGACAAGAACGCTTTGATTGAGGCTGGGGCTGTACTGGACTCTCAATACAAGTCAAGTCCAAATATACCTGCGGTCAACGTCCGGGCAAAATCGAGACACGGGGCGAACTCCAGGGACACATCCGGCCTTTTTGAATTCGGGGTCCTGGCAAAGTACAACATGCTTCCAGGGAGAGCGAGCAGAGGTGCTGTGCTGTCAGACTGTCTTGGTCCGGCATGGATGTACTTGTTTTAGGGCCAGCTGTTTTCCTATGCTACATGCACGAAATTCTGCGCACTCAACGTGTAGATTTGGTGCCTTCTGCTCATCGAAGCTGCCGAGAAGGGTGAACTGGGTGGAGGAGAATTTGTGAACCTCAGAATAAGAATCAATCACTTCCCTGAATCATTCTGCTGGACTTTCTCATGTCCATGCGTAGCACCTGGACTGTGCCAACCAGCTTCCAAGTGTCCTGGTGATGTCCGGGTCAGAAACTTCAGTGGCAGAGCACAGCAGAGCACAGGCAAGCTGCTCCTTCTCCAGCAAGCGTTCAACCATAGCATAAGGAGCAACATCTTTCCTGCAGTCTGCATAACCAGCATCACAGGAATCTTTGGGGATACACAGGCAGCAGAAAAAGCAGACTTCTCCCTTTGCAAAAGAGCAGTGAAGCGCTGTCTTCATTTCCACGACGAAGTCCACATCCGACTGCCCATTGACATAACAAGGGGACCGGTCCTGTGGCGAAGGCGCGTCGTGAGACCGAAACTTCCGAGCCCAAAAGAAGTCAGATCCCATCTCCTTCCGACCTCTCGGGGATTCCGTCCTCATTCCACGCGTCAGCTGCGAAGACACTGAGAAGCTGCATCGGACTTCACAGGCCCGAGTTGAGTACAGAAGTGCAAGAGAACCATAGAGCTCCGCAGAGTTGGCAACGGAGTCTTGGAAAGAACGTGAGCTGCCAACTTCGAAACGTGAGGCCCGAGAATCGCTAAGCTAAGGCCAAGGCCTTCACCGGCAGAGCCCAGAAGGATCTTGGGCAACCGCCGAGCCGTCTCCAGCAGCCGTTGGTGAATCTCTGGCTTGGCCGCGAGGACCTCACTCCAAAGATACGAGAATGAAACACAGACTCACACTACTGGCCAAGACGAGGGCATCCAGGATTTGTCGGTCGGAAACCGTGCAAGTTGCACCAGGCATCGGGGCTCCTGGCAACCATCGGAGAACATCACATTCTTGATTGTCCACGTTCTTGCAATCATGGCTAGGGAAGCCGCCCAGGAGGGGCATGCAGAAACCCTGCATGCCACGGACACATCGATTTGTCTGACAGCGTGCGCTACCCTCTGCGAACTCTTCTCAGCTGTTGTAAGCTTGGGGCGCCAATGCCGAAGTGCACCTTGTGTCTTACACCCTCAACATCAGGAATGCCGAACGTCCCGACATCACTCTGCATTCTGTGTGCCTTCGATCACCAGACCATGCTGCCACAAATAACTCCACAAGCTCCGCACGGGAGGAAATCCACCCATTGGACCAGGAAATGCCTTCGCTCGCATTGAGAGCGTAGCAGTCAAGGCCGCGAAATACTGGGCAATCAACGCTCAGACTAGGGCAACTGCATGGTAACAGCCAGGAAGTCCGCCAGTTGCCGGCGGATGTCGCGCCTGTCAAGCGTTCTCGAAACATGATTATCTGAAACAAGTTGACCCCAGAAGATCGACAACAATTCGAACTGTCGAAAGCCACAAGCATGTCAAAGAAGCCGCCAGCGGTCTTCTGGAAGCTTTGCCGTTACCTGTCATTCGAAACTATCAAGTCTTGTGCAAGCCCCTGCAAATGCCCCGTGCACTGAAGCCTCCAAGCTTTCTCTTGGCAGTAGATGCCTGCAAACAGTGTTGGCCCAGTCGGACGAGTTTCACTCTGGTCTTTCTGCTCATGCCTCGGTCTCGGCATCCTGGCGTGCAGCATCTTGTTGCAAGGACGCCGCACGCCCAGCACCTCGGGAACGGAAAGATGTCTTTCTGGACGGCAGAGCTTCTGAGGTCTCCGGCTCGAAGGTGCGCCGGTTGAATGAACCTTGAAGATGCGATTATCACAGCGAGCTGCATGAATTCAGCCCTCACGACGAACTTGCCTCCGGCGCCATCCCTGGCATGAAAAACAATGTGACGCCATTCGTACACATGAGAGCACATTCCGCATAACGCCGTTCCTTTGCCACTGGGACCTCCAATCATGGATCCAGCTGATGGTCTGGTCTTCTTCCCTCGGCAGAAGACACTTCCATCGGGTTCATCCGGCTTCCTAGCAAACCTAGCAGTGTCTGAGGAGACAGCTTCGATTCTGCCCTGCAGGCCAGAGTTCGGAAGGGAAAGGCTGATGAAGCAAAGTGAATTGAGGTAGCAGCGTCTGCTGGCTGCAGGTTCAGAGCGATCAGCCGCGGAGGTGCCGCCATCACTGCATAAATGGGTCCACTGAAGTGGAGACTGCTGAAGCTGCTTCTGTGCACCTGGAGGGACTCAACGATCGCGTCAAAGGTGTGCCTGTTTCCTGGCGCGCACATGCACCAGGACAAAACAGCAGAACCCATCAAACACGATGTAAGCACCGGTGTCTCTTCACCAGCAGGATCGATGTGGTCATCGCAACGACCTGCTCAGTAGGGTCCCGTCGAATTGCAGCAAGAGCGCATCGCTCAGAAGAGTCTCTGAATTACTGTACCTCACGAACCAGGCCTTCACCGCCGCATACCATCTCCGATACCTCAGGACACCTGCTGAAGAACACGAGTCCTCTCAATGAACATTCTGCAAACTCAGTAAATGCCTTTTGTCCACCACAGACACGTTGGCTGCCGAGATGGCAGCTCTCACAGATGAAACCTTGCTGCAAAACTCACGGCACCCCCCTCCCGCCACCGCACAGGAATAGAAAGCCAATCGCAGGCAAAAGGGTCGCCGGCTGGAGCTGCTGGAGTGGACATGGCGAAACCCCAGGGCTTGAGCTGGCTCAAAATCCCGTGTGAGGCGAAAGTCTTGCTGACGTCTTTTTCGAGTTGTAACGGTAGTTAGTCTTGTTAGTCTTGTTGCTGTGTCCTGCGAGCACGGAAGCTGCTTTGATAGTGTCATGCTGCTGGCCGAGTTTGCTAAGGCTGGAAGCCGAAAATATGCACAATGGTGAAGAACCTGCGATCAAATCTACCGTCTCACTTGCTGGACAATGTGGAAAAGGAAAACTGTTCCGCAATCCGGTGATACATGCAATGACACTGCACATGCGCCTTCAATCGCAGTTTGTTCCTTTTTCATGGTGACACAGGGATCTGTCACACTTCGTTCAGCGTGCCTGCCCACCTTACAGCTGCACTTTACACGGCGCTTTCCTGCAGGACCAACGATTCTCGACTATCATTGAACAATCAATTTGTTAGATTCACGCCAGAGCAGTAAACGGTGGATGCAGCAGTGCTTCCCTCCAAAAATTGGACTTGGCATCCGATCATCTGATCCGTTAGAGATTCATATTCTGCACCCGCATCAGGCCTGCGAAATGCCCACTGATTGGCACAAATGCACTGCTTTCCAGGTTGTTTTGCCTGGCCTGATCAATAGTTTTCTTGTCGAGAAGCGTATTAGCACATGGTGGGGAAGACTAAAATGTCTGGAAATTGAACCCACTTTTCGAGCAACGAGCCAGACTCCAGCATCCGTCCATACACAGCAGCAGAAAATCCAAGCCCTACTGTAGGAATGCCACCGTTCAAGCCGACAGGCGACAGAATAACTCAAACAAAAATTCAGTTCTTCCAAAAACACCAAAAGCAGTTTCTGCTTCTTCACTTGGAGCGAAATCAAGCCAGAAAGCCGCAAGAAACAAAAGTACAGTTTTGGTTCGCGCAAACAGATGCTGTAGAGTCTAACGACAAGCAGCTGCTTTTCCTTAGGTTCAGCTTTAAGCGATCTCGTCAACAAACGACAATGTGGGCCGCAATACTAATTACTGTCGCCGATGTGTCTGCAGGGTGGACAAAAAGCCAGCACCCATCGCTTGCCATTCAACGGAGCGTTTGAACGGCTTTTCGACAGCAGTCGAACCACTTCATGTCGGTACCGGTCACTGCACCGCGTCGAGCAAAACTGTGTTGAACATTTCACGACTGCGCGTCTCTTCAGCAAAATTCTCGCGCAGCTTTTGAGCTTCGTTGGCTCCATTTTGAACCTATAAATTGACCCCAAAACCGGGTCCTAAAAATAGACCCCGAAGGCACCATGTCGGGCTTCGTTTTGGTGCCCGAAATTGGCCCCGGAATGGATCGCTAAAACCAAAAGCAATGCACCCACTTTTGCAACGACACGCAAGCAAAACAAAATGCAACCAAGAACCACATGTCCTGGGCCTGACTCTGTGCTTGGTGACGGCTACCTTTTCACTGCGGGGTGAAGATGGCACAGCGGCTACACTTTGGTGCAATTCTGAGCATAGCTGCATGCGGCTGAATCCTGATGCCTTAGCTTACTTCTACATTGCAGTCTCCTTGAAGCCCTCGGTGGCCGGCAATTTGTCGATTCATCAACTCGAACACTTTCTAGTGTTGGCCGGTGGCAGGCATTCGATCTCCTTTCCCTTTTCGACGTGGTAGTTTCGTACTGGGTTGCTTGCACATTTGTACTCCTTCGTTAGCTCGCGATTTGCAACCGAACTCGTTCAGCTGCTACCACTTCTAAAAAGAACGAACTTCTGAGGTAGTGAGGCCTTCGGAGTAGTACGTATAGTACGTGCGTAGTACTGCTGACTAAAATGGCTGCATATGTTTCTCGTGTGAACGGCATTTGTGTATTGCTCAATGGTGTTTACCGCAAAATGTATTCAACATTTTACGTTGTTGTTTAACTGAAAGCATAGCAGCCACGTATGCGCAGCTGGAAAGCACAAGCATCACGGCACACATGTGCTTTAACATTTTCACCTGCCCGGCCCACCCTACGTGCGGCTGTCTCGCTCAACGGATTTGCTCGCCACCCATCCTGTTCAGCACCCGAGCTTAGGAGTTACTCTTCCGCTGTTGCTTCGTAGTTGACTATACTGGTGCTTGATATATGGGTGGCTTGCATATCTGCACTCCTTCGCTGGCTTGCTATTTGCAACCGAACTCGTTCGGCTATAACAATGGGAACGCTAAAAACCGGGCTTCTACCTACGGGCACTACCTAGGGCTCAATAGGTAGCGTCCCTCTTTTCGAAGCCACAAGAGGCAAGGGCTGCGGTGCGCATTGGTTGAACTGGACAAAGCGTAAGAGGTGGCCTAGCTCAAGCCCTCTAACGTGTTGGCTTGGGGAATCGTCTAAAATCTAGATTTCTGCCACCCCCTCCAACCTTCCCGCTGCAGGCAGGGCCTACCGCTCATGCACCAGATGGTGCTGGCGGCACTGCAGGCAGATAGGCCGTCTTCTTGCCCATCCGGTGATGTCTGGCCAATCTTGGAAGACGTGCGGCATGTAGTTTTCCCCGACCACATAAAAGTGGTCGCGGTCCTCATCCCTCGTTCCAATCACGGTGTTGCCCCAACAGGTGAGGCAAAGCTGTTCGGTGATCGAGCTGCCTGGTTGAACCGACGCCAGGCCCACACAATTGCGGAAAAGATGCACTGTACGGCGTGTCGCGGCGTAGTACATTTCGCCATGGCGGTGCTGAGGAACGGGTTGTGGGCGAGATCGTTCTGGAGTCTGCGCTTCCTCGGCACCGGTCTCGGTGCTATGGCTTCCGGCGGCGGCTCAGCCTCAGCGGCTGCCCCGCGTCCTCGTCGTGGGGCCGTGCTTGGCGGCCCACCGGGGTTAATATGTAGATATGGGTTTATTAAGTACATAGACAAGTTACATGACATAGGCAAGTGAAAATAGACAACATATACAAACGTGACATCTAGGTCTCTAGGTTTATGTATGTAAGTTAGCCTGAATAGCTAAGTGTGGTTAGCTGATTTATTAAGTAAATATTATAACCATGCATGCAACATGCTGTAACATGCACACACTGGTCCACACTGCCATCAGCTTTTTTGCTCTCACGGGGCAACCATCACCCGGTCATCCGACCGAACATCGGCGATCTTCACAAAAACCACATTTTCCGCTTTCCCTGACCGAAAACAGATTTCGGCCCAGAGCTTCAAAGAGTGCTCACGATGCACCAGCGCTCGCCAGAAGGCATCAAGCCCCACGATTGAGCCGTCCAGCAGAACCACATCTCCTCGTGAGATGCATGTGCCAGGCTTGATTTGGCACTTCTGGCCCCGGTATTAACGCGCGGATCCGCAGGTGCCACCACTTGCCTGCACAGGTGAGCGTTTGCATGTCTTTCCGCAGGTGCCACCACTTGCCTGCACAGGTGAGCGTTTGCATGTCTTTCTCAGGCCGGCCGAGCGCTTGCCTGCGCAGGTGGGCGTTTCGTTGGGCCTGAGCTGATTTCCGCTTTCGGGTTTAGGGTTACGAGGTTTAAGGTTTAGGGTTTAGGGTTTAGGGCTTAGGGCTTAGGGTTTAGGGCTTAGGGTTTAGGGTTTAAGGATTAAGGCTTAGGGTTTAGGGTTTAGGGCTTCGGGTTTAGGGTTTAAGGCTTAGGGTTTAGGGTTTAGCGTTTAGGGTTTGGGGTTTAGAGTGTGGGGTTTGTGCTTCAAGGTTTTTATTGCCTGCTCTTCAATCTCCTTCGGCAACTTTTTGTACTTGGGGGGATGGCCCATGAATCTTCAAGTACTACTATGCGGACTTCCATGACTTCTATGACTTCCATGGTTTGGGAGAAACTCTTGAGGACTTGGAGACCAAAGCAACGGCAACAAATCGTACATCTTAGCAGTGGGGCACCACTTCGAAACCAAAGCAACGGCAACAAATCGTACATCTTAGAATTGGGGCACCACTTTGAAACCACCGAAAAGAAGATTTAAAAAAGTCAGTCTTAGCAAAGAGAAGATTTGAAAAAGTCAGTTTCGAAAGCATTAGCGAAACGTATTAGAAACGCACCAGAATCATGTCGACTCAACAGTGCGGCCCATCCACACTGCGAAGAAAGATCGCGACGCAATCTAGAGCATACAACTGGAATGACTCATGAATTGAGTTTCTTGGCCGGCTTGTTGTCAGAGTGTGAGCCAAAAAGGGCTCTTCCCCAGGGTTCCAATACAGAGCCGCACTCCGACG